CCCCAGGGCTGGACAGCTGCTCAACAGCTGGCAGGGGGGTAGCATTGTGACACCTGGGTCCTAGCCTCCTCTCTCTTTCCTACAGCGCTAGTCCTGCTGATGGGCAAAGAAGGTACCCACGGTGGTACGCTCAACAAGAAATGTTATGAAATGGCCAGCCACCTGCGGCGTTCCCAGTACTGACCTCGTCTTTACCCTCCCTCTACCACTCCACACTGCTTTGGCACTCTCCTTCCCATACACACACATATACCATTTTTATTTTTTGGGCCATTACCCTATACCCCTTATTGCTGCCAAAACCACATGGGCTTGGGGCCAGGGCTGGGCGGAAGACACCTCCCCTTACCCATACCCCTCCCGTGTGTGGTTGGAAAAAAATTTTTGTTTTTTTCTGAATAAAAAAGATTCTAACAAGGTGCTGTGTGGTTTTAGCCTGAGTGGAGGGCAGTCGTTAGGACTTGCCTACTTTATCCCTGTTTGGGGTTGGGAGCAGGAAGGGTTGAAGCACTGCAAAGTCTAGGACTGAGCACCTGCCTCAGGCCTATCTGGCCTCCTGTTTCTAGCCCTAGGTGCAGGTGCTAGTTGAATTAGTGAATAATGGAATAGAGCCATCCAGACCATAGAATGGGCCCCAGCCTGCAGGCAAGGCAGGGACAGTTGAGTCATCCTGTGGGTGGGGCTCCCCCTCTCTGAGTCACAAAATGCTGGGGCTATCCCCATGATTAGGTTAGTCTCTTCCAGAACTCCCTTTCCCCTTTATACCAAAAAAGGGGGCAATTTTCCAAGTGGGTAAGAGGTTCATTTGTGTGAGAATGATCTTCCCCTTAGTCAACAAAAACAATTTTATTAACCCAGTAATTGAAGACCCAGTCCCTTTGTACCAACCCCCTCAAAAGGATGGGATTGGGTAAGGGAGAAACCCAGGGTAGAAATATCCCCTATTCTTCAACATAGAAGGCTAGAGAAAGGCTGTGCAAAATAGGTAATCAGGGTGGGGGTGAGAAGGATTATTAGACTAGGATGGCAGCTGAGGAAGGTGAAGGAGGAGAGGGTACGGGGTCTATTGAAGACTCAGGGAAAACAAGTGGGGCTGGGGCTAGGGAGCCAAAAGAGGTGGGAGTTGTAGGGCTAGAGCCCAGAAGTGGGGTCCGCTCAGAGGCAGGATGGTCCCTTGGTTCCCCTTCCTCATCACCATCTTGTCCCTGAGTTTCTTCCTCCTGCTCCTCATCCCCAGGACCTCGATGAACAGGCTGCTTGCAAATGGGGCAGGTCTTCCGGGTCTGAGTGAGCCAGGGGTCCACACAGCGGCTGTGATAGGCTGCCGAGAGGAATGAAGTGAAACAACACACCTGCTGGTAGAGTGGGACATGGGCACTGAAACTGAGGGCCTCACCATGTGCACAGGGGAGTACCCTCAGCTTGTCACCATCCACATACTCATCCAGGCAGATGGCACAGACATCGTACTGGTCTCCTGGGGGGGGGGGGTGGAAAAAAGGAGTCCTTTTATTCAGGTACTTTGGACCAGGGTCCATAAGCACTCACTCTGGGAAGCCTATAGGTAGCTAACCCTAGCAAGTTATTTTCTTTGGTTCTACAAAGCCAGTGGAATAGCTAAGACTGGGACTTGCAAGGGTAAAGCCAAGGTAGAACACGAGGAACGGAGGTTTAGAAGGGACAAAGAAAAGCAGAGGTAAGAAGGGAAGTGGGTTTTATCTGGGGAGGGGTGCGGGTGGAGATAACCGCAGTGGAAGGGGTGGAGATGAGGGTAGGGCTTCTACTATTGCCTTATTTGGGCATGGAGACTCCTGGGCCCAAAGACCTAGCCCCTCCTCACCTGTTCTCAGAGTAAATCCTGCCCACTCCTTCCATTTATGTTCTCTCTTATAATCAAGGTTGGTCCTCATCTTTTCCCCCCAACTAGTCCATTAGTCATCTTCTCATCTGCTCTGTTCGTATCCTGTCTTCATTATATGTGTGGGTAAAAAGAGGAAAGGTGCCTGGCTGGTGTGGCTCAGGTGAGTTGTCAACCCATGAACCAAGAGGTCACTGGTTGGATTTCTGTTCAGGACACATGCCCAGGTTGTGGGTTTGATCCCCAGTAGGGGGGTGCAGGAGGCAGCCAATCTATGTTTCTCAAATCGATGTTTCTATCTCCATCCATCTCCCTCTCTAAAAGAGGAAAGGTGGCATCTCAGGCTGACATCTCCCTGCCATCTTTCTTTGTCCCTTATCTCCTGGGCTCAAACTCCTTCAGAACCATACACTATGGGGAAGGCCTTCTGCCCCCCTATCCCCCTCACCCTTCTGATAGTCATGTGTCGGAATCTGTTTAAGTTGTTCTTTCGTCAGTCGGTTTCGCTGGAGCCGTTTCCGGTGCTGGATACAACGAACTATCTGGAGAAAGGGAGTGGATGGATCAGATCAGCCTTAGGGAACAAAACTGGACAATCCAGTACAAAGCATCCCCATTACTAAACCCCAGAGCCTGTCTGGTTTTAAAGGCCTCAGCTCTTCCAATCTTGCTCCCTGAGCTACTCACCATCACTGCTCCCATGGCCAAAACCAGCAGTCCCACAATCCCTGTGAAAGGGATGAGGTAATAACCCAATGGGAAAGTACTGTCCGGGACCAGAAGCACCCGAGCCCTGGGAAAAGGAAGATCAGTATCAGAGGGGCAGGAAAAGCAAAGTGACAAAGGAAGAGAAAAAGTAACTGACTCTGGATAAGGCCCATGGATGGAAAAGGGGTGGAAAGTCAAGAGACAGAAGGGCCTGAGGCTTGGGCTCCAGATTGGCATGGAAGTGCTAAAGAAAGAGTGGGGCCAAAACCGGTTTGGCTCTGGATTGAGCGTCGGCCTGCGGACTGAAGGGTCCCAGGTTCGATTCTGGTCAAGGGCATGTACCTGGGTTGCGGGCATATCCCCAGTGGGAGTTGTGCAGGAGGCAGCTGATTGATGTTTCTCTCTCATCGATGTTTTTAACTCACTCTCTCTCTCCCTTCCTCTCTGTAAAAAATCAATAAAATATATTAAAAAAAAAAAAGAGTGGGAAAGAGGGACACATCCTACCCCTTCTCGTAGACAAAGAGGGCACGCAGGTACTCGGAGCTCCTCTCCCCAATAAACACAGACGGGATCCAGATCTGTTGCTGGATTTCCTCTGCAGGGATCAGGGCATTCATTACACTGAGGACTCAACCCTCTACTCAAATGCTTTGGTAATCCTAGCATTTGGTTCTTTTGTGCCATCCCACCCAAAGATTGACTTCTTTCCCCTAATTCTCTAGCCCAGCGGCCGGCCCGCACAAAATACGTGTGGGCGCGCACATACAGTGTGATTGGAACTTCGTGGTCCATGCGCAGAAGTCGGTATTTTGTGGAAGAGCCACACTCAAGGGGCCAAAGAGCCCCGTGCAGCTTGCGAGCCGCAGTTTGCCGACCACTGCGCTAGCCCATCCACCATCTCTTAAGTCTGAACTCTACTGAAAACCCAGCCCTTCAGGTCCAACCTTACCACTATTCCACACCATGTTCAGAAGTTCATTGGAATTCACATTGTGTACCACGGCTGCACCATACCCAGCCTTCTGAGCATTCAGGACCTATAGAGACAAGACAGGATAAGGAGCCATTATGGGTCTTATCTCCCTTCATTCCTGGTGCATTTTTTTACCCTGATTCCCAGCTCCCACTCCATATTCAGCAACCTTGAGGTCAAAGTTGCAGTCGAATCTTCGAAGCAGTGCAATAAAGACTGACCCGTTGACCGGGGCTGGGGGAGGTGGGGCAATGGGGCTGCAGGCATTGGCTGGGTGAGCCTCCACAAGAAAGCCCTGGAGAAGAGAAGTAAACAGTTGGATTTCACCTCCCTAGGTTCTGCTCTCCATAGGGCCCACCAAGCACACTGGCCCCCACATACATGCTCTCTATCTACTTCCTTCTCATTCCTGGGGTCTGAGCATTCCACCTAAGTCAGAAATCTACCTCTTCTCAGCTTCTTGAATATGAAAATATATCAAACAACATCCTTTTACCAGACCATCCCTTTATCCCTCTCCATGGCCCAGATGAGCTAACCTAGACCCCATACTCCAATTCTCTAATTCAAATTCTGCATTCTAGTTTCCCACTGGTTGTACATCAACTCTCCACTTATCCATGTCACTTTCTCTCAAGTTCACATTCCCCTCTCCAGTACATACTCATACAGAACATAATCCTCTCTGTTAAAAAGAAGCGGCAACACACACAAAATATAAATAGAAAAGAGGCAACAGGGCCCTGACCTGTGTGGCTCAATTGGAGTGTCATCCCATACACAAAAAAGGTCACAGGTTCCATTCCCAGTCAGGACACATACTAGGTTTCAGGCTCAATCCCTGGTGTGTATGGGAAGGCAGTGATTGATGTTTCTCTCCCATCCTCTCTCTCTAACATCAATTTAAAAAATGGAGTCACTTGTGCTAAGCCCCATGTCACCAAACTAAGACTTAATACCGAACTTAATTACAGTTTCAGCCACTCCCAGGAATGGAATCATAAGCCATTCTGGAATTACCTGGTCAGCACTAGTGAAGTAATCTGCCTGATAGACCCCCTGCCATTACCGAAAGGTGACCTTGCCAAAAACAACCAGCTCTTTGCTAATGTAATTCCCTTGTCCTGCTCCCTTCTGCCTTAAAAGTCTTTCAATATGTACAATTGTTTGGAGTTACTTTCTATTTGCTACATGGGTTATTGCCCAATTCATAAATCATTGGATAAAGCCAGGAAGGTCTTTAAAATTTACTCGGTAGAATTCTGTGTTTTTTAGAATGTGTTTTTATTGATTTTAGAGAGGAAGGGAGAGGGAGAGACAGAAATATCAATGAGAGAAACATCATTGATTGGCTGCCTCCTGCACAGCCTTGACGGGGGATGGAGCCCACAACCGGCATGTGCTCTGACCTGGAATGGAACCTGTGATCTCTCTGCATTGGTCAAGGCTTAACCACTGAGCCACACCTGCCAGGCTAGAATTTTGTTTTTTAACACCTCTTTAACTTTCCAATTACCCATCTTACAAACAATTACATTGATATCTAGGGCCCAATTTTTGCTGTGTGGGCATCTTTGTGATTAAGTACTACAAAATTTCTTTATCTAATTTAATCCTCACAATAGCCCTGTGAGATAACACCTATTATTATCACATGGTAAAGTAAAACTAAGGCTCAGAGAGATCAACTTGTCCATGATCATATAAAGCAATAACTGACCCCAGAGATTCTACTGTAAACGCCACTTCTCCCTGCCTTTTATCTTGATCCACTTTCAGTCTCCCTCACAGGGTTCAGATTTCTTAGACTAGGCTTGGTCTTCTCCCTCTAGATTCTGGATTCCACCCTAGATGTGCTAATGCACTTTCTCACTC